CAAAACTGCTGGCTAAGGAGTGTGTTGTGAGGGGTGACCGGCAGGACAAAAGCCTCTGCATGAAGATGATCGATACGTGACATTTTATAGCACCCGTGATCGTGTGGAGAGCAGCGTTCTGTGCTGACTGAAGGCGGCGGAAGTTGGAAGAACTGATCTTAGGAGACCAGATTGGTGCCGCATAAGTGAGGTGTGGCTTGACCAGCGCTTTGAATGTGGTCGCCGAAGTCTCTTTCGCGCAGCTCCAGGATGTGCTCACTAGAGCCTTGAGGACGTTGGTGCAGCGGCTCACTTCGCCTGCGACCTCCCTGGCATGGTCCGCTAACGTTAAAAGCGGAGCGAAACGCACGCCAAGGAGCTTGGGCTTACGGGCGAGCGGTAAGGACGCATTGTTGACAATCGTGGTTGCGTGGCGATTGAACTCCTTCGGGTCCAGCGTGAAAACAGTGACGGACGACTTGGCTGCCGAGATCGTCGTCCCGCACTGGATGAAGAAGTTTTCGACATTGGGCATAAACTCCGAGAGGAGTTGTGCAGCCTGATCGATGTGATGGTGCTGGCAGAAGAAGGTAACATCATCCGCATACAATACCACTTTCGCAAGTGCCCACGTGAGTGGTAGCTCTCGCATATAGATGTTGAAAAGCGTCGGACTTATCGACTTGACCTCTGGGCGTTAATTCCAACGCTCCGCTACCTAGTCACAAACTCGCTGTCCTATCGGTTCTGGCCTGAAATACTAACTTTAGACATAGCTCAAAGTGTGATGGGACGCGTATGTGCCGTAGCCTGTTCAATAAACGATCCTATCGCGAAATAACACTGTTAGTGAAATGTGTGTAGGGACGAACGGGTCTGTCGTTTAGGCTGACGCCTTTGTCCTTTCTAAATGCAGTTTTCCAAAGGGAGAGACGGATTTGTTCCCGTCTTGCAATATATAGTCAGTTATGCCAAACAGGCAGAACTACCTTCTCAATTCCCTTAAAAACATTGATTGCCACTCGTGGCTCTTATTGATTGAACTTTGGTGGGGAATAAAAAATACTGTTTGACAGGCATGTTGCTAGGAGGACGTACCCAAATTAGGTCTGGCACACAGACTTTGCTTTGTATAATACCGCAAGCTTGATGGTTGCGTTATCGCATGAAGTGCACAAACTACACTCAAGTAGGTTATCTTGTTATCACTGCCCTTTGCTTAGGTTATGGAAATGAATGCAGAGCAACAGTCTGGGCGGTGTTTCGGATTCTGTTTTAGCCAATACTTCGCAATACAATTTATAGAAATGTAGCTCCACTAGATCACCCATGGATATAGTCATATCAAGTTTAACCAAGTGAGCTAATGGTGCCTCCGCTGCCGGACATTTTTCAGATTGGCATGGTTGTGAGGTCTAGCAGCATTACTCTATTACCACGCTGAAAAGCTGATTACCAGAGAGGAATAAACTTCATCCTCTCAGTGCTTCGTTGTTAACTTCGAAGGATGTGGTTTACGTCTGGCCCAGTGGGGATTATTTCTTACTTCTGCGACTCATTGCTTTGTCTCCTGTCATGTCAATAAACATTGAGCATGGCCGTATTGTCAGTAAGGCTTTATCCTGTTAGTGCTTAACTTGCAGTCCTGTCTTTTGTTTTTTTCAGGTACTTCTCAAGCCCCTGCTGGATAACGGCCCGTCTCCAGTAGCCTCTGAGATTCTGAGGCCGGATACTGTCCCAGAGGGTCGTGATGTTGATCAAATAAGTCGAAAACAGCGTCTGGATCACGAGTACTGGTTTATAAGGAAGTTGGCAGAAGTTGCGCCGGCCAGTGGTTTCGTTGAAATATCCCGAGAGGCTCTTCAGGAAGCTTGTATTCCACGCACATCTCGCGGAACGCATGTAAAGGTAAGCGCCTAGTCTACCCTGTACATCTCCCGTTTGTCGCATCCACTTGCTGAGAAGGTTGGTCTTTTAGAAATCGGCTTGGTCTTTATGCTAAAAGTACGTCCGCGTACTTGTCAAGCCTGTCAGTCCACAATGCTTATTAATTTCCTACTCATTGTAGACCTACGTAGACCCCGCGGACTA